CCCCCCCCCCCCCCAAAAAACATACAAACTTCTGAATGTTATGTATTGCCGTTTTTACAAAAATATTAATAAGCACAGCTGTTTTCAATAATGAGAATGCAAATAATAAGAAATGTTGGAAAATGCTGGAATAATGTCTGCTGAAAATTCAGCTTTCCCATCACAGGAATAAATTACATTTTATGATATATTAAAATAGAAAACAGAAATATTAATTTGTAATATTATTTCACAATATTACTGTTTTTACTCTATTTTTGATCAAATAAATGCAGCCTTGGTGAGACTTATTTCAAACGTTTGACCGGTAATTTTAATTTGTATTTAATCGTCAAACTAAATTCTTCTATTATTTCCTTGTGTTGATTTTATTAGCAAGCATTTGCTCTTTAGGCCTCTGAAATGCTGATCCAGACACACAGCTCGTGTGCTACATTATGCTTCCTGCTACATTATCGGGAAAATGATTAGCAGATTTATGACTGCCGTGTGCAGCTCATATCACAGTTGTAGTTCAGTTGAGTCTAACAGAAAGTAGGTGCGCAGTCATAATCATTAACTGACTGTCAAGCTTCCTTTATTCAGCAAAGGCCAATCGCTTTGCACGAGAACATTTCATAATTGTTCGTTCTGTTTGTCTGGGTGGGAATGGGTTGGTTCTGACTTGAACTCTGCTAACTCTAGGTTTGAGAGTCTCAAGTTATGTGCCAGACCTCTCATCCAGAAGATAAAAAATGAGCGTTTCCTTTTTTAGTGGATCACTGCCATTGGCTGCCTCAACACTAAAAATGAGGCCCACTGCAGCTTGCATGTAATGAAAGGCTAGGCATGCATTATCCATGCAGCTTGTGTTTTTTAGTAAACACAGTGGATTATTTCCACTCATTCATTAGCAAGGTAAACAATCATCTCATGGAGGGTTTGATACTGTTGAATCGGAACATCTGTGCCGCCAGTGTGGCTCGAGCGCTCCGGGACAGGTGGCGGCACGTCGGGCGAAGGGCAGGACCGAGAAGCGACTGCAGAGAGGGATTAGAGTCATTGATGAGTTGCTCTTTTATAAAAGTACACTGGGATTTCAGTCTCCGTCTGCATGTGTAGGTGAAGGAGTAGCGGCATTATCGCAAACCTTCTCTTGAGCTTCCAGCCAGTCCTTCTCCTCCATTTCAGAAACACTCATGTACTTGTTGTCGAAGCGGCGCAGGATGTCGTGGCTTGTGGCCACGGAGCGATCGATATCGTTCAGGAATGCCTCCACGTCTGTGCTGCATGACTGCACCAAGCTGTCGTTCATCTCCTGAAACTGATTAAGGAAACAAATGACATGAAAATGGGTTTCGGTCAGACATAACAAGGCAAGCTGATGTTCCGTCTTAACAGATCAATTCTGAGTCTTACAGTGACAATGAAAATCTGTTAACAGCCAGATCAATAGCAGTATGGATGTATAAAGGAAACTTTCTGGACAATCCCAGAAATTGGCCTGCAAGATTATGCATGTACAGGTACGCACACACATCCTGTGGCGAATGACATCAGTGGTTTCTTTATAGCTGTATTTGATCAGTAATTAAACAGACGTTAAGCGTTCCACAGAGTTCAAATGTAGACCTTCCTAAAGAAGGACAAACAACATTTGGCAGTGTGAACTCTGCCTCCTCACATTCAGGGAAAAAA